TGACCATCCACAACTCAATTTGTCCTGCTATTAATTCATACCTGCAGAAGAAGAGATGAATTCATAACTTTCCAAAGGGTACTGATGCTAAAGTGAATGTAAACAAACCAACAGGAATTCAAACTGCTCATTTCTCAATCTGAGAATTACATCACCTGTACATTCATTCATTTACACACACACACAGATGACAGTCTGTCTAACAACTTGGGCTGTCCTTTATTAAGTGTTGATGTTTTGAACCATTTTTTGCTCTGTCTAGATAATCTGAACATTGAGCACTTTACTGTGCTGTTAGGTGTTTGCCTTCTGGCAATTTTTTTGTTGGTTGCATTTGTGTGTGTGCATATATATATATATATATATATATATATATAAAAAAAAATAAATAACTATTTATAATTATTATGGTATGCTAGAGCAGTACACTTTTAATTTTTTTTTCTTTTTTAAATGGTCATAACAATTGGGTAAACACATCCAATTTAATAACAAAATACCTAATTCTAGTTGTGAAGTTTTCATAATAAAAACAAAGCTGAATGTTTCAATCTTAGGGACACTCAAGGATATTTCCAGTTTACAGAAAAGAAGCACTTGGATTATTCTTCAGGGATGTAGCTGGATTTAAATCTGAACAGGTAATAATAAATATAAATAAACCAGTTGGAATGACTGGTATTTTTTTCTTCTTCTCCATGCCAACCGTTGATGTTGACGGGTAACTCCAAAACCTTGGTGGTTTAGTGCAACAACTGGAACTTAAATTATGCGAGCTGAAATTATGTCCAAGTTAATGGACAAAGCAGAGTTATATAGCCTCTGCCCATGCAAATATATTGACTGTAATTGAGATTTAAGTCTTGTTCCAGGTGTTGGTGATTACTCTCAAGGTTTTAAACCAAGCCAATTTTGTTACTGTCAATGCAACCAGTACAAAAACATTTAATGTTAACAACCATCCCCCACCCCATCATTTACATTGTTTTCTTGAAAAATGCTAGGCTTTGATTTTGGTGAAATTGTATGTCCTATTAAATTGACTTTGTAAAGGATACAAAAATAACATTATCATTATTTCAACACCCTTAAGGTTGAAAATTATATTTCTGTTGGATTATTTGCCAATGGAGTGCCTTGGTCTGGGGTAAGGGTCAGCAAGATTAATCTTTCTGACCATTAATACTGAGTAGAGAGTGATGCTCCATGCAAAACACCAACATTAACCCATTAATACTACCATAAAATACAGTTTTAATTAGAAAAATTAAGATGAAAGTCTGATATTATTGGTTTCTACTTAAAGCCCAGCAAGGGGTGAGGTCATAAAAATCAACCAACCTAAACTATTTTTATCAGAAAATAAAGTTTGACACAGACACTGTTTAATTTCCATGTAATTTAGCATTTTTTTTTCTCTTTTTATATTGACATCTCTGTATGTCATGTCAACTGCTTATATTTTTATGCCTTTTTAAAGTTTAAAAAAAAATGGGCAGATAATTTTCTCTCCTTTTTTCTTCTATGAAAAATAAACCAGACTACAAAATGTTACCAGAAATCAATGGGATTGCTGGCAACTTTGTTTATATCTATATGTTAGGGTGGATCAATAAGTTCATAGTCTGACATAAGCTGTATTTTGCTTTTTGATTGAATCTCTCTTGTATATATGTTGTAGCCTCGGTCTGTCTATTTGTTATCGAACTCCTCCTAACCATATATATTCTGAAACTACATTAATTAGGGTACTTGGATAAGTATATTTCATTTTGATCAAAGGAGGTCCTGGGTAGGGGTGGGTTGGCACAAACCTCCCACTAAAATTTTTTCCCCTTTGATTTGATTTGATTTGATTTAATTTAAATTTGAACAAGGGAATGATTCCTAACCAAAATATAGGAGAAAGCCAGAAGATGGCAAGATCATTGAGTAATATTGAAATGCATCATTTTTTTTTCTCTACAAATATGACAATGATTTAACATCAGTAAGATCATTGAGTAATATTGAAATGTATAATTTTTCTATACAAATTATAACAATGATTTAAAATCAATCCTTTTCTTACCAAAAAAATTGTGATATGAAGTAAGGTGCGTGTAATTTCACTAGTTTTATATAATGAAAATTCATGTGGTCTCTGCAAAAGTACTGGATCAAAGTATGTTAAAGAGATGTTTCAAAATATTTTTTTTTTTTGTTTTTATTAGACTCTGGACATGTTTAAAAATCTGTGTATCTGCATTTGAATCAATCCAGTCTTAATAAAAAAAATTAAAAAAAATATCTTTTCATCACCAGCAATGCCATATCACCACCACACTGGTTGCTTATATAGTTATGGAAAACAATCCCATTGAATCAGATGGTAGTTAACCCTACAAGAAAGTTCATCTGCTCTTTGCAAGGACTTGTTTTTAATCCTGCTGGGTGTCTAGCCAACCCTCTTCACTAGAAAAGCCTGGTGGGGGAACTAGTTTAGTTGTTGATGACTTGACCATCTGCTAAGTAATACTGGGTTACATGCTACCAGTAGAACTCATAGTGACATGACCTAAGATTATCATTTTTAAACTTTTATGTTGTAATCATTGTCAGTTTTGTGATAGAATAGAAATTTTGATGTCTTTAAAATGGAATTAATGTTTCTTAGAGTTGATTGTTTTGATTTGTTTTTTTTCTCCTTACAATCTTAATGTCAGTGTTCTTTATTGCTGTCATTTTGAGAATTTGATGCTAACCTCCAGGAAAGTGACTCATTGTGTTTTCTTGGACTAACGTTGACATGAAGTGGAAAGAATATATTGAATCAATTGCTAAGTCTGTAACTAAGAAAATTGGTTCACTATGTTGTGCAAGCTGTTTTTTATTGCCAGAATCTATCTTACATATTTATAAGCCTACCATTTTTCTTTGCTTTGAATATTGCTGCCACATCTAATCTGGTGTTCCTATATATTTAGAAATTCTTGATAAAATACTAAGAATAATCTGTAATGTTATTGGTCCTGACCTGACATCTCAGCTTCAGTCTCTTTTCTAGCTTCCTTTTGCTTTTTCTATAAATACTTTCATGGTAGTTGTTCTGATAAACTTTCCTCTATGATACCTAGACTATGAATTTAAGTACAGTACTAAGTTGGCAGCAAGGTCTCATCAGTTTACAGTCAAAATGGCTAGATATAACTATAAATGCAATGCTAACAGTTTCTTTTATCACACTTCTCACTGATGGAACTCTCTTTCAGCTTCTTGCTTTCCTGTCAACTTTGACATTCAAAAATTTAAATGCAATGTCAAACATTATCTTCTGTCTTAATTCTCATTCATTTATTGTCCTCTCTCCTTAATAGTAGTTTTTCTTATATTATCTAATACTCAGTAAACTCTTAATGGTTTTATTGCCTTGCTTGGGGTGAAATGATTTAAAAAAAAAAAATACAAACTTGCTTCACTATTATGGTACAGTATTGAACTTTAGATGGTGGAATTTGAAGGGATCTAAATTTGGAATACAACTCTCAAGCATATGCAAACATTGCTGACTAATAAATCTGAGTTGCAAGAACATTTTTCTTTCTTTTTTTCTTTTATTGTGACAGTGGTATCTATCTGTGATTAGAACCCCCACACCCACAGAGTGTAGTAGGCTCTAAGTGACTTTTTCTGGGCCTAGTTTCATGACATCATTGACAGCAAACTCTAGAAATGAGGGCTTGAAAGTGGCCATCTGCTGACTGAAAGGAAATAGAGAAAATGAATTAAAAATTTTGTGATCAAGTTCCACTTACCCGGAAGTTAGAAGTCCCAGTTTCAAGTTTATATAAGCAGTCACAGAATGGTCAGTTTAGTTTCAAATCATGAGTTAAGATGTAGAGAAGAGTAGAGGGGTTGGTTGGAGAGCCTGAGTTCTCACTGATCAAAAGGAAGGTCTGGTCCATTATTTTGTCATGACAGAAGTAGCAACAAAGTTGTCCCAAGTGTCGCCCACCTATCTCTAGACTGTACAATTGAGTCCAGAAATAAGTAACTGAATATACTGGAAACTGGATTTCATTTTCATTTCTTGCTATGATGATGTTTTCAAAATCCATTACCTTGTGAACATACATGCTTTTCCCAGATGTTGTGCAAATTGATACAAATAAAACTGATATGTGGACTGATTTGTCTAGTTAGTGAAAGACAGAGAGGCCCAGTAAATTATAAAGCAGTTTTAGTACAATGGATTTAAGCAATTTTAATATTGCCTTTTTATATTCAGATAGTTTATCTTCTAAAAATACTTTCAAAATTCTTAACCAGTGATATTGAAAGATTTATATATATATATATATATATATATATATATATATGAAGCTTTTTGATATGCTCCTATGGACATGGAAGCAAGAATGCACTATTTTTTGTTTAATTTAAAATTTCATGAAAGATTGCAAAAGACTAGTTTTACAGCAAGATTCCCACCTCTCAAATTATCCAATAGATTGAAAATTATGCTGGGTCCTTCATGATATCTCACTAAAAGTTATTTGGCGGAGTCTGTCTGACATTTGACTAAGTTGTACTAGTTAATATTGTACTAAAAGACTGTAGCAGTAAGACCAATATTTGTTAAATGTGAGACTGTTGCATATTTTCAGGAGGCACCTTTTTGGGTGCTATTTAAATAAATATTTGAGGTATGGGCTAACATTTTAAAATTTAACTTTTTCAGTTTTCACTGATAAATTATTGTTGAAATTTGATAGACATTTTCAATTTTCAGCTGTACTTTAAAAATCAAAATCCAGCCCAAAACCCTTTTTTTTTTTTTTTTTTTTTTTTTTTTTAAAAAGGAAAAAAGTAGCAATTGGTACTCTGTAATCAATGTGATTCCTAATATTCTAACTTCTAACCAATGAAAGGAATCAATCTTTTGATTGATTTTAATAGACAAATGCTAATTTATATAGTGTGTATAATTACATGTTTTTTTTTGTTTTTTTTTCTTTCAGGTGAAAGATGGCAAGGAGAAGGAAAATAAGCACAAGAACACGCATCAATTTGTCTCTTTGTCAATAAGCAACACAGCTCTATGTCATGTGTGTAATAAGAGCATGGCCAACAAATCAGCTGTTCAATGTGAGAGTAAGTATGCTGTTTATATACCTAATGTCAGATGATTGCCAAAAAAAAAAAAAAAAAAAAGGCCTCAAGAGATGTGAGGAAGGGGCAAGCTCATTGTCATGATGAATGCAATGGTCACACAGTACATAAGCTCACTCAATGGTGTTTCATTGCCAACTGAATAACCCCATGGGAGAGAGTCTATGTATTAATATGCAGTATAATTCCCTTCTAACTGGATACCAATTAATATCAAGGCTGCACAATCGGTTCTTGGGATATACAAAATAGTTGGATACATACCAGAACTTGTTTTTATTTTAAAAAAAAAAAATAAATAAAATCGTTTAGTATGAGTTTTTATGGTCCACTATTTATCGGAAAATAGTGGATCACACTATACACAGGTCATTTTGGGGGTTGGGTTTGAAAATCATGCATTTTCAGTGATGAGTTGCATTATACACAGGTAATTTTTTTCTGGAGGAGTTAAAATTCATGCAAAAAAAATATCAGTTGTCACACTTACATGAAGTTGGCTTGTGCGTGAGTAATCTGAATGTCACTTTAAAAATGAGTAACTTTGTTGTATGATAAATGTAAATAGCTTTGTACGTGTATAAGCATTCTACCTTAGTTTTAGGCTTATGGTCATATCAAGTTAAAACACTGATTTCTGTATGATCACCCAAATTAAGCAATGCCAAGCCTGATTAGTACCTACATAGGTTACCACTTAGGTGTACTAAGAACTGTAAGCTTGGATGTGTGGTTGGTGTGATGGATAATGACTTGGAATTGGTAATCGGATAGTTCCAATTCTACTTGTGTTTGTTATGTTCGCTTATGTGCAGATACCCCAGGGAAAGTTATAAATCCTACTCTTCCCGACCAAGTTATAGTTTAATTAGTAAGACTTGTATCACTAAATCCTTATTATCTCCAAAAAATTTCTTACCATCTAAAAAAATATTTTCTGGCTCTAAATAACCTGCAAAGGGTTGATAAGACATAGAAAACAAATCAATTATAATCCACCTTTTTGTTTTAGAAAAATTATTTTCTATAGTTGATAACAGTGTGAAATATGATTGTAGATCTAGGAGAAAAATGATAAGAGCTTAAAAATTGAAGCTTCAATGGAATCAGTGGACAAGTTTAAGATTGTAAATGATTCCAATGTGAACACCTGATTATATTCAGAAGAAAAGATATATTTATTTGTATTTGTGTCTTCCCCTCATTGTTCAAAGTAATCAACTGATTACTTCTTCAGCTTCCAAGTCTTCTCTTAATATTTTCTCTCTATTAGGTTACACTTTCTCTATATGATGACAATGATAAATATTTTAGATTCATTATCTGCTTCTCTATTCATATTTCAGCAGTGTATCTACACTGCACAAATATAATTGTACATATAAGTTATATTTCTTTCTTTCTTAGAAAATGTACCTGAAAGAATTCTGCTTTTCCTAATGTCTGTGAGGAAAAGACTAACTGGGATGAGTGTTGGTAGATGGAACTGGCAAAATATTTGCTGTGAAAAATCTTTTCACAATTGAACATCAATATTCAGCCAACTGGAATATTTTTAGCAAAATTCATAGACAAAACTGCAGGAGTTGCATATGCTTAACATTTAACAAATATCTTTCTCAGCTTGTTTTGTTATTTTATCTTCATTTAAAAAAAAAAAATGTTCAACAAATACAAGACCCAAGAGCCACTCAAGAGTTACTGTATAGTGCTGTATGAGTGTAAGAAAGAGCAAGAAGTGACTATCATGGGACTATACAGGAAAGAAGTTAACCTTAAACTTGAAGAGTTCAAGATTGTAGTGATTGGGAAAGCATTTTCTTGGGAGTCTGTTCAACAAAGTAGTTCTTGGGAAGAAGCTCTCCAAATGGGACTTAGTTTTACTAATGGAATAAGAAGGAATAGGGCATAGGTATTTGTGTATGTGGCATGGCTGGCCCCAGCTGCAAAAGTCAGGGTTGGTGGAACTAAGCAATGTAGCTCATCAGAACACATGCCATGGAAGTAACAGTAGGACAGCAAGATGCTTGCTATGTTTTATCTGTGAGAAAGGGGTTCTATGGTGGAAAATAATTCATCACCTATAAGGCTTAGTTGAATTTAGGATTTTTCAGGGGAGAGGATCCTGTATGCATAAATAGAATTATAGGGATATAACACAGACTATCACCATTTTCTTCTTCCATTTATAGTTGTATATATTTTATACTCTTGCAGAATGTTTTGAAGTCTTTGTTGGTATTCACATAAAATACCTACTGATAGATCTGTTCTTACAACTTCTGAGATTGGTTGTTCTAACACTCCTCCATGAATCACATAGATTAAATATTATATAGCAAAGATTTCAGCTCTGTGCCAGGTTACAAACTTATTGATTCACTCTTGTACAATTTTTTTCTTTTTCTTTTGTATCTTCTTTTTTGTCTCTGGTCTCTTTTTTTTTTTTTTTTTTCCTTCTTCTTCTCTGGTCTTTCTTTTTTTTTTCCTTCTTCTTCTCTGGTCTTTCTTTTTTTTTTCCTTCTTCTTCTCTGGTCTTTCTTTTTTTTTCCTTCTTCTTCTCTGGTCTTTCTTTTTTTTTCCTTCTTCTTCTCTGGTCTTTCTTTTTTTTTCTTTCTTCTTCTCTGGTCTTTTTTTTTTTTTTTTCTTTTTTTCTTTTTTTTTTTTTTTTTTTTTTTTTTTTTTTTTTTTTTTTTTTTTTTTTTTTTTTTTTTTTTTTTTTTTTTTTTTTTCTTTTTTTCTTTTTTTTTTTTTTTTTTTTTTTTTTTTTTTTTTTTTTTTTTTTTTTTTTTTTTTTTTTTTTTTTTTTTTTTTTTTTTTTTTTTTTTTTTTTTCTTTTTTTTCTTTTTTTTTTTGGTTTTTTTTTCTTTCCTTTTTTTTCTTTTTTTTTTCTCTAGTCTTTTTTTTTTTCTTTCTTTTTTTTCTTCTCTGGTCTTTTATTTTTTTTTTTGTTTGTTTTTTTTTTCTTCCTCCTCGTGTCTTTCTCTTCTACCATTTCTTAATTGCCATATATTTCAGATCTCTTGGAGTTTGTGGCATAGGCTAATGTTTTGGGAATGTTAACCCTTTAATTTATGCACAGTGTACTTTCCTCATTCATACCTTGATAATGTCCTTTCTAGGGAAGTGTTGCTTCTTCCTTTTGATGCCACTCTGTCTGCTTTGGAAGGTCATAGCTGGAAACCTTGACAAACACACAAAAATCTATGAAACTAGTTCAAATAAATCAATGATAAGGGACTCAAGTTCAAGCCTTAACATAGGCTTATTCTTTCTGATCTGTACTGTTTGCATGATAATCAGAAAGACAATCAGGAGTTACAATATATAATAATAATAAAAATGAAATGAAAAAAACTTTTATAATAAATTGATATCCATAGGTTTGTCAACAAAAATAAAAAGAAGAAAGCATCTCTTTTACACAACACATTTTTCAATATAATCACCTTCATTGTCAATGCACTAATACTTCTCCATTAATCACATAGATCAAATATTATATGGTGTGAAATTTCAGCTCAAAGTTCAGCTAATGACTGTACCTGGTTACAAACTTATGAATCCACACTTGTATAATGATTTTGTGTAAAATGTATAATTTGTATATGATAATTAACTCATGTCAGTGTTTTCTGAAACTTATGAAAATTAAGTTTAGCTACACTGACATGAAGCTCAAGTGGTTGTTGATCAAAACTTGACACTGACATCAGGTCACCAAAAAAAGCAATAAAATATATTGCAGTTTACACTTGAATGGCTAAAAAAAAATGACATAAACTTCTTTCAAACAAAGTAAAAAAAAAAAAAAAAAGTATCAGGAAGCCAGCCGTGGTGACATGTCATCTACATAGTTTCTAAGCTGTCCAATAGAGAATAGCCTGACTTGTCAGTTTGATCTGTTGTTACCTTATTTGTATCCTTGACATATTTTCTGTAGGTATGTAAAATATCTGAAGGATCATTCCTTTTTATAGTTCCAGGTCATCCCTAGGCAACATGTATCTATCAGCTAAGTCCTGGTATGCAATGGGTTGGCAGGGACATATTGGCAGTTGACATATATGTAGTGTGTGTGTGTTGTTTTTTTTTTTGTTTTTTTTTTTAGATTCCTATTGAATATGAAAATATTTCAAACAGCAGATTTTATTTTCAACTCTGAGATGATTTTTTGACCATTGTTTTTTCTTATAATTTACTAGATTGAACTCATAATGAAAATACTTTAGTATTTTTGTATTGAAAATGATTTGACTGTTTAATTATGAAAAATATAACTATATTAGGTTTGCGAAATGTTTCTCTGTCCAAGTAAGTTAAATCATTATCCATAAAAGATGAACTTAAAGATATGGGATGCTGGTTCAAATAATGTTAGAATCTACCTCATTTCCCTTGCTGTCATCATTGGAGGATATTCAGACAAGAAAATTGTGATTGTAACAATAAATTGAAGAAAAGACAAGATAACAAAAAAATAACATTAAATTCTGTTTTAATAAAAATCATGAAAATAAGAAAAAATGTTCAAATATTGGGTAAATTAGGGATTTTGTAGGTCAAAGATCTCACTGAAAATTGTTTTTCCTTTGATTTAAATTAAATTTAAATTTGAACAAGGGAATGACTCCTATCTAAAATATAGGAGGAGAAAGCAAGAAGATGGAGGTCACATTAGCACGATCATTGAAATGCATCATTTTTCTCCACAAATTATAACAATGATCAATTAGCATTTTCTTACAAAAAAAAAAAGATAAAATAAATGTAACACGCAACAAGCCACAGTGTGTATGTGTGTGAGATATATATATATATATATATATATATATATATATATATATATATTGCAGTGGTGACTCTAGGTCATCACTCATTACAATCTTTAAAAAATATACTATTGGTATAACTTAGATGCTGAAATGATTCTTTTATAATGTAAGAAAAAATAACATATGTATCTATCTTGAGTGTGTGTTTGTACATGTCTATGTGTTAGTGTGTTTATGTCTGTCTGTGAATTTTTAGTTTAATTTATTGTATGTTTATGATCACTACTGCTGATTGATATCATGTTTCCTCAACACCACCCCCAGTCACACTCCTCACCATAACCCTCCAGTTGATGCCACTTTGATTTTTGTGGACTTTTAAGTCTGTTTAAATCTAATTTGCTTGACTTTTCAATTGATGCATTCCATTAAAAAACCTTATACTGTAATGGAATAAATTATTTAAAATGAACATTTGAAAATACTAAGTTGAAATAAAAATGTGTTCTTTGAAAAGACCCACATCGATGCAGCCTGACCTAGCCACAGTAATCTTATTTCATTCTTTTTATTATTTCTTTGTTTTTTTTTTCTTCTGTCTTCTTTATTATGAACTATATATCAATATTTTGAGGAACAAAATTAAAACAGTTAATTTGGGATCCAGTTGAAGTCAAGAATGAAAACTATGCACTACAAAAGATTTTTGTTGCTTTGAAATAGATATACTTGAATGTTGATTCACTCTGGCTAAATCTGACCCCTGGAGTCACCATGATAGATTACACACAGGGTATCTCCCCCCCCCCAAAAAAAGTATACACCTTTTAGAAACGTTCTCAAAATAATTCAAGCAACTAGAACCAACTATAATTTAAATAATACATATAAAGATGATATTTATTATAAATGCATGCCCATATGTTTTTGAATTGATGTCTATTATGATCCAGACATTGCTGACAACTCAATGCAATGGAAACATAATTGGCAATCAACATTTCAAAAGGTAGTTGGCTGCATTCTGGCTTTGTAGTGTAGGCTTATCTTTTAAGTACCTCCCACAAGAAAAAAGTCTAAAGGAGTAAGGTCTAATGAATGAAGAGGATATTCTACAAAATATTGTCTTCCAATCCATCTGTTTGGCAAGATTTTATTCAAGTATGATCGTACATCACAATCATAGTGGAGTGGTGCTCTATCTTGCTGAAAATAAAATTCTTCATCTCTTAAAATTTCTCTAATTCTTGTCATGATAATTTGTTGTGGGATTAGGGCTTATACATTTTTTTGAGACATCCTGTATATATTTAATCATTTCACTCTAAGCAATGCCACAATAAAGCAAGTGGTTACTGAGTGTGAGGGAATAATAAAAAGAAAACATTATTAAGGAGAGAGACAAATAAAAGGAATTAAAACAAGATAATTAACATTGCATTTAAGTTTTTGAATATCAAAATTGACTAGAAAGCAAGAAGCCAGAAGGGTTTCACAAGTGGGAAGTGAGAAACTGTTAGCATAGAACTTAGTTTATTTAGCCATTTTAAACATAAATTGATGCCAATCTAGTTCTACACTTAAATTCATAAAGTCTAGGTACCATAGAGGAAAGTTCATCAGAACAGTTATCATGAAAGTATTTATAAAAATGGCATAGAGAAGCTACATTATGACAGTGGGAAAGTGACTGAAGTTGAGATGTCAGGTCAGGACCAATAACATTGTAGATACTTTTTATTTTATCAAGAATCTCTAAATATCAGATATGGCAGTAATATTCATTGCATGGATGAATGGTATATTTAATGTTTAAGATAGATTCTGGTGAGAAAAATAGTCTTCAGTGATTAATTGTTGGTTTGTTAGCTAAATCCAGTTTTATTTTTCATGATAAGCAAGTCATAAATTGTTATTCTTGTTTTCATTTTTATTGTTTTTCTTGCATTAGTGAAGTGTATACTGAATCCAGGTATGGTTGGTTGGTCTTATATACCATACCTATGAACACTAATGGTTATATCCCATCCTCATAAATACATTGGACACTATTGTAAATGGGGATAATATGCTGTCTACGTAGTCCACCACTAACAGTGGTTTACCTATTTCACGCCGCTGGCGAGTATTGTATTTTGTTGATGTTATAAAGATTACCATTTCATTTCCAACCTCCATTTTGGTTATTCCTCATTCAGTAACCCTTTCTAGGTTACAACAGTTGGTATGTCTCAGATTAAATACATCTATTTTCTCTTGCTTTCAAGAGTAGATATTTATTTTAAAAAGAGTCCTCATTGTTTCTATCGTATATTTGCATATAAAATTCAAGTAAATTAATCAACTATTCAGTTGGAAGTGTATTTGCTTAAATCTGTTTTCATTGTATATTTTACTTTTCTTTTTTAATTCCTTATGAAAAGTAAAAGGGATCACTCAGTATTTTGACAGCATCAACAAAACGGAGGAGTTTAGTCATCCAAAGCTTTTAGAGTACTCCTAAACTTATAGATAAATCTGTTAAAGCATATAATTCCTTGATTTACCTATTCATTATAATTTCATGCTTACATGTCAACTTTTCATATTGCTGATTAACTTTTTCATTAATCCTTTGTTTCAGATTGTCTTGTCAATGTCCATGAGAGTTCCTGCAAAGAACAAGTCGGTCCATGTGCAAAGTTGTTCAAAGCCAAGGTAGGTGAAGTATGTATCAAATTTATAACATTTCTTTCTCAAGTTTACTTTAAGATGATGTACAACTGAAATACAAACTTTTATACATTGTTTTTTATTTTTATTTTAATGGTTAACAGAATGTTGGGTAGTGTAAGTTTTACTCTGCTGGCCAGTGTATAAAATTTATTTTGATTTTGAAAAAGACTCTTTCATTTTAAGAAAGAGCACTGGGGTGGTTGCAATAGATCACAGCTCAGAATGAGAAAACAAAAAGCCAGTCATGTTCATTACAATCAATTATGTGCAAATAACCTTGGGAAAGGCATGAACCTATCTTGTCCCCACAGATATGGATTAAATGGGACTTATATCTGGAAAATTCATTCTTATTCTCAAAAATATTAATGCAATAATCACTCACATAGAAAATTGTTACAATCCATAATACATTTTGACTTTAAATAATACACAGTGATGACAAGCTGTTAAGAAAAAAATCTTTAAAAATCATGCTATGAAAATCTATTATTGGCATTAAAATTAGTTCATAGCTTTTTAATAACAGCGTAGTTTATAAAGTCAAATATAGTATATATTTGTTCAATATCAAATATCATTAAAATGAAAAGGCATTTTCTTGTAATGGTTAACCTAAATAAGCTATATAAATTTATTCAACCAAAAGTGTTATATTTTCATATTTGGGACAATGTAAAACTCCCCTTAAGATTCCTTGCTCCCCATTTTTGCTCTATAAAATATCTGTAGTGTTTTTATACAATAATAATGAGCACCTGTTTTAAATTGCTGGCAAGTAGGTGAGTGCTTGTGAATATAAATCTCATTGTCTGCCAGGTGTTCCTTTATTGCATTAGTCTAAGGTGAGTAGTAACATATGTTTCTTATTACTATAAATGTTACATTTAATCGGTACATGTATTTCAGTGTACTTTTTTTTTGTTTTTTTTTTATACAGTAAAATTAATTAATGTCTGTTGGCCTAGAGATCAGAAGTCTTTTCTTTTTTAAACCCAGATTTTCAATCTCTAAGTCAGTAGATACCAATTTCCCTTCTTTTTTTTTTTTTTAAATAGGTCTAGCTACTCAAATATGTGCCCACTAAATATGACATTTATAATAAAGAAAAAATGTCAAATTAAAAAAATTAATTGGTTACTTACACGCATATGCAAATTTTGGTAAACAAATGTATACAATGTGTGCTGATGGTAAACGGGTTAGTGATAACATACCAGTGTACTGCTGCTGAAATATTCAGGCTAAATTAGTTTTGGAACACAAATTTGGTTATTTTTTGTCAGTTTGTAATTATTTCAGCAAGTCACTTTTTTTAACAAACAATATTGATTAAATTTATTTAAAACAATAGAAACTAAATTTAACATTTATTTTAAACTTTTATATTTTACTAAAACAGCTGTTTTAAAATTTGGAAGTATTGACTACTACTTTGATTATTTTTAAGTTATTATTTTATTTTTTTTTTAACAACCTGACTTTTCCTTTTATTATCAATAATAATTAATCCCTCCCTCCTCCTAGTTCTTTAAATTTTCTTTATATTTTTTTTTTTTTTTACAAGACACCAAATAAATTGAATTAATTTTATTTTCTAAAATTTATATTGGTTATTTTTGTTGTGAAATTTTTTAAAGAGTGTAAACTCAAAACTGCTGAATTTTTATTTAGGGATGTGTAAAATTTGAAAAACATTGATTGGTGATAAAGAATTTGAGAACAAGGAATTGAACAAAATATATATATATATATATATATATATATATAATTCATACTCAAAATATTTAACAGAGAAATACAAATGAAAAATGCATAAATAATTCTTGGCAACTATTATGTTTATATGCAGGTACACAAACATTTTATATACATGTATCAAATAGACTTGGTTAAATAGTAATACCTGCTGTAATTTGAATTTTAGGATGCCAGAAGGAAAGTTACCTTTTCTTTTTCACTCCATAAACCACTTTCAAAATGTTTTCTCCTCTGGGCATAACTAGAAAACAAAGTACTTTCTTAGCTTTCATTTTTAGAAGAATAAAATGGAAACCAAAAGGCTAATAAATGTTGATAGAAGAAAGGCTGCCCTTGACATAAGCACAGTCAAGAGATGGGTCAGTGTTAGCAATCTTAGATAAAAATGTAAAATTGACCTTAGTGACAGACCTTACATTAGCAGGCCAGCTGCTGCTGTGAACCAGGAAAAGGCTAAACTTGCTGATGCTCCATGACAGTTAATAGAAGAATGACTATTGCAAAAAACTCTGAAAGTTTTCAAGTAAGTCATAGTTAGGTCTGCAGTTTAGTGTAGTCTCTTGAATACTTAAATACCTGCAAGATGGGGTCATGAAGGAAGCACTCGGAGAGCAGTTCTCTAATGATGATTAGGTTAAAAAGGCAACTTTTGCATGGCTAGAAAATGGCCAATAAACTTCTGTGGGGCAGGTATACATACCCTCATTCAAAAGTGGAGCATCAGAGTTGAGAAGGTGACAATTGTAAGAACGAGATTTGAAATCTTAGCTTACTTTGTGTACTTCTGCTATGAAATATTAAACTTTAATATTTCATACCTTTTACCAATTAATACCTTTTTAATAATTAAAGGTATTAATTGTGATTAACTCTCATTTTACACTCAACAAGAATAGCCTTGGCAAAGCATTAAACCACTTCATCCTGAGTTCTGTTACATCATGATATAAATATTTGTTCACTGAAAACTGTATTTAAAAAAAAAAAAAAAAAAAAAATTCATTGTTTTGGGTATGGGTGTATATTATAACAGCATTGGTATTGCTGACTCTATGGCCACTTTATTTTTACTTGTAGTCATTTTTATTTATTTATTTTTTTTTTCTCACCAATAATTAGTGATCTTGACATTTATGCATTTTTCTGGTCGCTGAAACCTGTTACTCTTCTTGTTTTTTGTTTGTATTGTATAAACAATGAGGAAGTGGTATGTTTTCTTTGCTTTGTAAGTTGAATGAATGTAGTTTGGTAGGTAAAATAGTCAAGGTTACTTGGGGGATGAAAGTAATAAAAAATAAATTTTTATGAGACAAGCCTCATTGATTTTTTATCTTTTTTTTTTTTTTATCACATTATTTCAAAATAAAAAAAAAAAACAGTGCCAGTGAGCGTAACCTCCCATTTGAAAAAGTTTATTTTATCAGCACTGATCTTCTCTAGTAATTAGACTTGTTTTCTCAATTGTACATGAAAAAGAAATATCTTTTTAAGACATTGTCTGGCTTCTTGTTTAAGCAAGCTTCAGACCTTATGCCTTTCTCAGTTAATATGTAGAAAAAGTAGCAAATTTAAACAATGTTAGTCTTAAATTAGTTTTTAATATTAAAATAAATTGTTGCAACTTGTAATATTGCAAAAAGGATTTATTAAACATGCATAAAAAAATTCACTACAAGGATTACATTTACCAAAACAAATATGAAAAGTTTGTAGTGAAAGTAAGCAGATGCCAAAATTTTCATTTATACATTTGGTATACAAATAGATGTATCAAATGTAAATTAAAAAAAAAAAAAAATCTTTTAATGAGTTCTGTTAAAAAAATTATCAAAAAAAAAAAAAAGCAACTCCAAAATGTCTAGAGATAGTAGAAAGGATAGATCTTGTTCCCCAATTATAGACAAAATTGAAATAACCCACTATTAATCAGTGGATCTGGATGCAAAAAGGCAATGGATATTCACATAGCTTATAAAGAAATGACTCCTTTTAGCATTTTAAAAAAAATCTAATAATTTCTTCTTTTTAGTACTTGAATCTTGGCACTCTTGGTAATAATTATAAGGTGCATGTTGATGTATCAATAAGTTTTTTAGCATGGGGGCAAATAACATTTTTCAGATACATTCCACACCCCTCCCTTATGTAATTTTATATTAATGCACTTAATTCAGTGCTTCTGTATCATACACAGCAAATATTATACAAGAAAAAATTTAACAAATAACTATCAAATGGGCTCATTGATCAGGCTGGTGTGTGTGTGTGAGATTTTATACACATACACACTCTATCCCAGATATTGAGTACTATTACCTTTATAAATATAGCATACCGTCATACTATATTTTTTTTTTTTTTTTTTTCATGTCTGTCCATGTTTTTGAGCTAATTAACTAGTTCTTGGTTATTTTACAGCTGATTTCCATGATGGTTATTTTATCTAATATTTACAAAAATCATGCTATGCAAATACAGTGAATAAATCTGAACAGACAGTTATTCATTGGGCTGCTGCATTCTGTTATGTATGATTCAGTCTTTTTTTTTTTTTTTAAATTACTGTATTTGACAGCATATAAGGCACACATTTTTTTTTTTTTTTTTTTTTTTTTTTTTTTTTTTTTTTTTACTAAAATATCTTTTAAAATTCTCCTATGCCATATGTAGGTTTAAAATTTACGATAGTTGGTCGAAATTGGCTACCTGGCAACTCCTATTAGCTTAGGCATAAACATGAAGGAGGAATGGAACACATGGATAGCAATGCCTGATTATGACCTTACACTGACAGGAAGAATAAAAAGACCCAGCATTGCATAAGTCTGCGAATGGGTGAAGTAAGCTTGGGATAATATTAGACCAGAAATTGTTGTGAAATCTTTTAAAGAGTGTGGCATTAGCAATGCTCTCAATGGAACAGAAGATGATGCATTATTTAATGATGATGATAGTATTGAAAATGAGTATCAGAGTTTTGATAATGAAGATGACAAATCTTATGAATTTGAGGATAAATAAATTTTTAATGGTAACTGTACTGTTTTACTCACTTGTAATAATTGCTTGATTTTTATTTTTTCTTACCTTTGGATATAATAAAGATTTTATAGGCTCGTGTTCTTTTTTCCTATTATTTTTCATTTAATTGTAATCATGGCTTGTTGAACCAAAGTAATACTTCATAAATATAGCCTAGGCTGTACCATTTACTAATAATTTTACTAAAT